GAGGAAACAATCCTAAAATTTATATAAAACCACAAAAGACCTCAAAGAGCCAAAGCTATCCTGAGCAAAAAGAACCAAGCTGAGGGAAACACACTACCTGACTTCAAACTATACTTCAAAGCTGTAGTAACCAGTACTGGCATAAAAACAGACATGTAGACCAATAGAATAGAGATCCCAGAAATAAATCCATACATTTATGGTCAACCGATTTTCAACAAAGGGGCCAAGAACACGCATTGGGAAAAAGACAATGTCTTCAAAAAATGGGAGGAAAATTAGATATCCACATGCAGAAGGATAAGACTAGATTCCTACCTCTCACCATACAGAAAAATCAACTCAAAATGGATTAAAGACTCAAATGTAAAATTTGAAACTATAAAACTACTGGGAGAAAACATAGGGGAAATGCTTCATGGCATTGAACTGGGCAAGGATTTTTAAAAGAAGACCTCAAAAGCATAGGCAACATAAGCAAAAACAAACAGGATTACGTCGAACTAAAAAGCTTTTGCACAGCAAAGGAAACTATTAACAGTAAAGAGACCTATACAATGGTAAAAATGTTTGCAAGCTGTATATCTGACAAGGCGTTAGTATCCAGAATACATAAGAAACAGCAACAACAACAACAAAAAAAACCCCACAAAAGCCTGACTTTAAAAATGAGCAAAAGATCTTAATAGACACATCTCAAAAGACATACAAATTATCAAAAGGTATATTAAAAATTCTTAACATCACTAATCATCAGGGAAATGCAAATCAAAACCACGGTGATCTACTATCTTACTCTAGTTACAATGGCTATTATCCAAAAGATAACAAGTGTTGGTGAGGATATGGAGACAAGGAAACACTTACATACCATTGATATTGTAAACTAGTACAGCCATTATGGAAAACAGTACGGAGGCTCCTCAGAAAAGTAAAAACATAAAACCCATATATCTCCCAAAACATATCCCCCCAAAATATATGTTGAAGACATATCTGCATTTCTATGTTTATTACAGCATGTTCACAATAGCCAAGATATGGAATCAAGCTAAATGTCCAACAACAGATGAGTGGATAAAGAAAATATGGTATATATACACAATGGAATACTTTATAGTCATGAAAAAGAATGAAATCTCATTATTTGTGAAAACATAGATGACCCTGGAAGACATTATATTAAGTGAAATAAGCCAGGCACTGAAAGACAAAATGCCCTGATCTCATCACTTGTAGAATCTTTTAAAAAGTTGATACAGAAGAAGAGAGTTGAACAATGAGGACTAGAAAGGGGCTGGAAGGGGAGATAAAGAGGAAGTGGTCCAGAATGGGAGAAAATTTTTTCAAGCTACACATCTGATAAAGGGCTGATAACTAAAATCTCTTTAGAACTCAGGAAAATCAGCAAGAAAAAAAATCAAACAACCCTATCAAAAAATGGGCAAAGGACATGAACAAAAACTTCTCAAAAGAGGACAAAATGGCCAATAAACATATGAAAAAATGCTCAACATCTCTAATCATCAGGGAAATGCAAATCAAAACCACAATGAGATATCACTTAACTCCAGTGAGAATGGCCTTTATCAAAAAGTCCCCAAACAATAAATGCTGGCGTGGATGCGGAGAGAGAGGAACACTCCTACACTGCTGGTGGGACTGCAAACTAGTTCAACCTCTGTGGAAAGCAATATGGAGACACCTCAAGGTGATACAAGTAGATCTACCATTTGATCCAGCAATTTCACTACTGGGTATCTACCCAAAAGATCAAAAGTCACTTTATGAAAAAGACACCTACACTTAAATGTTTACAGCAGCACAATTCACAATTTCAAAGCTGTGGAAACAACCCAAGTGCCCATCAATTCATGAGTGGATTAATAAAATGTGGTATATGTATACCATGGAGTTCTATTCAGCTTTAAGAAACAATGGTGATATAGCACCTCTTGTATATTCCTGGATGGAGCTGGGACCCATTCTACTACGTATCTCAAGAATGGAAAAACAAGCACCACATGTACTCACCAGCAAATTGGTATTAATGGATCAACACCTAAGTGGACATATAGGAGTAACATTTATCGGGTGTCAGAAGGGTGGGAGGGGGAGGAGGGGATGGGTATATACAACCAAATCAGTAACATGTGCAACATTTGTGGGATGGACACGCTTGAAGCTCTTACTCAAGGGGGGAGGGAAGCATGGGCAATATATGTAACCTTAACACTTGTACCCCCATAATACAATAAAATAAAAAATTTAAAAATTTTTTTAAAAAAGAGGAAGTGGTCAATGGGTACAAAATTTCAATTAGATAGGAGGAATAAAAGCACAGTGGGTGACTATGGTTAACAGTAAAATACTATGTTTTACAAAATAGCTATAAGAGAAGATTTTGAAAATTCTCACCACAAAGAAATGGTAACTGCATGAAGTGATTGAATACACTACTCTAACTGGAACATTATGCAACATAAATTTTGAAACATCAATTTGTATCCCTAAATATGTACAATTATACTATATCAAAGAATTTGAAAGAATTATTAGTCCGACTGCTGAATCTAGTTGAGTTAATAAAGAAGAACATGTATAACACTATATCATACATTTGATTTTTTAAAATTTTCCTATTTCAAATAAAAAAGACAAGAGTGCTAGTGATTGTGTGCCTCCCATCTTGACTTAAAGGCTCTTTTCCATGACATTCACTTCTACAGGGAAGAGTAACAACCATTATTCCAAGTCACCCTTGAACCCAATAAAGACAACTACAATCACTGTGGTTATACTCACCCTGCCAACAAGACCATCAATTAGTCCCGATTTTGGCAGTGATAGCCCTCATAAACACATTAGTGTCTTTTCTCATTACTCAAGATAGAAAATTAGAAAGATCACAGGGTATTTTATTTCATCAGTGAAAACAAGTAAGGCACTATGAGGCAAACATCTCATATATATGATTTAACAATGCCAAGTGACTTCCCCCACGCTTTGCTGGGACAGCCAGTCACCTGCCAACCAGCAATGGACATGGCCCTCCATGATATGGTACCACACCATATCCTCCCACGCATGGTAACCCTGATGCAGTTTCTCCTCCATTTCATTCACCTTTCACCACTCACGTCTAACTTAATTCAACAACAGGGAATATTTTTCACATTTATTCATATCATCTCTGAATATTTCCCTCTCTTTCCCCACTCTTATTATTTTATCTAAATAAAACATCTCTTGGTTACCTCTATAAATAGAAGTACTTAGTAGTGCGTCCCAATTTTAGAGACCTGAAGTGGTTTAAATACCAGGTGTTAATTACAAAAAAAAAAAAGTGGTACACCTGTATGAAGGAAAAGAAAACCAAAGGGTTTTAGGGCAAAATTAAAGAATTGGCACTTACAACCTTTACAGTTATGAAACTGTCAAGATATCTTTTAAAATCCTACTGCCAGGAAGGGATGCTAATTAAACCTATTTATTTTTCTCAATCACCATGCTCAATACGAAACAGCATTTCTTTTTCCATGTCATTGTTTGCTTCTTCGTTTCATTTACCAGCATTGCAGTGTTGATTTGTATGACCTCTCATTGCACAATGTCTCATTTTATTAATAATTTTATAGTGTTTTAGCTTCATCGTAGGTTAAATTGTCGCTTTGGGTTAATCTAAACTCTAATTATAAACTTCTAGATCCCACAACTCAAACCGTCTTAAAGACTAACAGAATAATTCCATATCTATATCCTGGCTTTTAATTTCACAGGTTCAAGAAAATACTTCACCTTCGGTTTCAAAACACCTGATAACATTTTAATGAAGGTCAAAGATAGTTTTAGTCTTAGTTGAGTGAGCATGGCACATGCAACACAAGCAGAGTCGGCTATCATAACCAGTTCTGGGTCCCTGATTAGTGTTGGTTTCAGTTTGTTAGACTTTTGAACAAGAAACATTGAAACAGTGACTTTTTCTATTCTGTAAGACAAAAAGCACACTGTATCTTGTTTTCCAACAGGGAAGGTAATTTTTTAATTTCATAAATTTGTATGTAGCTAAAAGAGGCTGTGTACCACATTCCAAAGTTTCCCCTAATCATGTCCTCCCAAGTTCAGTAGTACCCTGGACGTAGTGTCTCCTCCATGCCATCTGTCTTTCACCACTCACATCGAAGCTAATGCAACAACAGGGAGTATTTCTTATATTCAGACTTGAAAATAAGACTATTTAAAAGTCTATTTATAAGGCTATTGTAAGATCTTTATAATATATTAATGTCTATTTATAAGACTATTTGAATAAGACATAAAAACAGACCAAGACTTGACATATGTATAAACTATAGCACTAAAACATATTCTGGGTTAACTAAAATTTTAAGTCAGTAAGAGGCAAACGCAAGTAAACCTCATCATGTAACTAACCGCCTCAAAACAGTGATTCAACATTCTAGGGTCAATATTAAACATCAAAAGTTTCTAGACTGAGCCTGAAGAAGCCTTGATTCTAGACAATGGCAAGAAATGGGAGGTTGGGAAAAAAAAAATCAGAAAGACCCCAAACCTCTGGGGTTAAATTTTCAGAGGTCAGCAAAATGAGAGCTGGATTCGGAACCCATGTGTAGGCACACTCTGTAAAAAGGCTTATACTTTCAGTGTACCGCCATAAGTTGGGTTAAAACTTCAACGTAGAGGGTCAGGGTAGGTGACTTCCCGCCTCTGTAAACCGCCTGCCCTTTGGGGCTCAAGTTTTTCCGTGAAGACGCGGAGGAGAGGCCGTGACGTCCGTCCCGGGAACGCGCCGGGAGGCGGGAAGCCAGGCGGAGGCGGCGGGCCGCGGGGGACCCCGGGGGTTGCTAGGGGCGAGGTCCCCGTTGGGAAGGAGGAGGCGGCGGCTTCGGGACGCGGTCACCTGTCGGGGCGGCGGAGGAGAGGGGGGCCGAGCTGGGAGGGGCGCGGTGGGAGGCGGGAGCGCGGGACCCGGCACTCACCGGTCGGGCGCTCGGGCTGAATGGGCCGCCACCGCAGGGCCCGCTCGCTCAGCACCACGTCACAGCTGCCCCTTCCAATCTCGAAGATGCCTCGGAGCACAGTCTGCTCCGCCGCCGCCTCGGTCTGCTGCGCGGAGGTTAACGGCGCCGGGGGCACCGCGGCCGCCTCTTCCTCCCGGCCGCCCTCCAGGGCACTCACCCGGCTGCTGCGCCTGCTCCGGGGCATGGGGGAGCCGGCGGCTGGGCCCGAGCCAGGGCCCGGGGAGGCCTTTGGAGGCGGCGGCCGGCGGAGGCGGCCGGGAGCGCGGCTCTAGCTGCGTCCGGCGCTGCCACAGCAACGCGCGCAGGGCACAGACCCGGGAGGAGGCGGGGCGGCAGGCGGGGCCGCCCGGGACCTGGTCCCGCGCCTCGGCCGCAGCCTCGCGTCGCCGCCACTCACCACAAAGACCCAGGTCCAGAAGGGGGAATAAGGGGCCCCCTCCGCCTGGTCCCTGCTGTTCAGGAGGATTTAGCGCATTGCAATACTCTTAGTTGTATAAGCCAGCGCTCCCGAGACTTTGGGCATCTTCTTAAAATCCAGGTTCTTATTGAATAGGTATGGGATGGGACCCCGAATACTGCATTTGTAAGAAGCTACTAGTTGGATGCGGCTGGCGGGGGAACACAGCGGGCTCCCCTGGAGAGCGGAGGTGGTGCTTTGCCACTAAGTTTGCATGCCACCCACCGTTGATCTTTACACCGCAGGATAGAGTGGGAGCTTATCTCCCAAAACCCCTGAGGGGAAGCCAGCGGTAAGCCCCAGGTTTGCATACACAAATTTGCTTCTGACAGATTTAGTATTAAAAGTGCCTCCATGGTGTAAATATTTAAGGCCTTACTTTCCCCAAGCCAGCTCCTCTGCAATCTTGTCTTTGCCTGGATTTTGCAGTCCCTTGAGAAAGATTAGAAGGAGCAGGGCTTGCTCTGAAGAGCCCTGGGGAGGTGGAGGGGAGGAGTCACCCACAACTTTCTCCTGATGGCTGGGTTTCCTAAAATTAGCTGCTTGTTAATTTGGAAAGCACAGAAAGCCTGGAGCCCAGTGATTCTCAATCATGGCTGCACATTAGAGTTACTTGGGGAGCTTTTTAAAACCCACAGGTCCAGGCCACATTTGAAGACAATTAAGTTGGAATCTCCAGGTGGGCCCCAGACTTCCAGATATTTAAAAGTTCCCCAGGTAATTCCAATGTTTAGCCAAGGCTGTTAAGCAAGGCTGTGCTAAGCAGGGTAATCACATAAGGAGCTGACTCCTAGTGATGGGGAGATAGGGAGAAAGTGAGTCCTCAGGAACAACAGGAGGTAGAACAGAAGGCTTTTTGTTAGAGCTTTCTCATTGCATTGAGAAAAAGTTAGGAGTGGTGGATGTAATGAGGAAATTAAATTCATAGAGTTGCTCATCTAGTTCCAGTGTGCCAGTGCCTAAACAATTCCATCAGATAGACAGACAGCCACTTGTCATCCTACCCTCATCCCTTGTCACACTGCAAAGTCAGAAGAGCTAAGTGTAGTAGGAATTTTTCAAGGTTCTTGGCTCAGATTGTAAGCTTAGCCAAATCCCTTTCAAACAAAGTAATTGTGTGCCAGTTGAGCTAGGACAATTACTGTTTAATGTGCTGACAAATACCCAATCTTCCTGGAAAAGCAAGGAAGAGCTTCAGTTTGCTCTGACTGCAGCAAGTTGTTTCTTACAGCAGAGGTGCAGCTGCTGCTAAACCCCAGGCAAGCTTCAGGTGGCTCTGCTCAGCAGTCATTGGAGCGAGAGCCATGGTGCCCTTGGAAGAATGACTTGCAGTTGTGGATTCAGCATCTTGTATTCACAGCTGTCAGGCAATCAACACAATTAGAGCTCACTGGCATTTTAAAAGCTCACTGAGAGTAAGGGCAAACAGGCCAAGGCATTGGCTACTTCTTAGGACCTTTGCAAAGGGGCAACTTGCCATTTTGCAAGCTTTAGTCAAGGCCAGGCAGTCAAAAACAATGGCATTGTATTATCTTGAAGGTAAGTAATAAAAGTTATGTTTCATTCTTTCCCTTTGATGACCTGTCCTCATCCAGGGTTCTAAAGGTTGTCATGCACCAGGGCTCTGTCCTCAGGCCTTATCCACACACACTGGACTTACTGTCTCATGCTTTGTTTTACATACTGTCCAGGGCTTTGCAAATGATGTCCCCAGCCCCAATCACTCTCCTGAACTTCAGATTATATCTAACTGCCTACCTGACATCTCTACTAGGTTGTCCAATAAGCATCTGAAACATGTCTAAAACCAAACTCCTGAGTTCCCATCATAAACCTGTTTTTCCCAGATGTTCCAAATCAGCAAATAGTGTCATCAAAATCCCTGATATCATCCTTGTCTCCTTCTTCATCTTATAACTCACATCCAAGCCTCTAGCAAATCCTGTCCATCTCATCTACAAAATATACTCTTTCTAGCCTACTCTCATCCTGGTTTGCACCTCTGCACCTCTCAGCTAGACAATTTCCATCTCTTTGCTTTCCCTTTCCCCTGTGCTGGTACTGCCAGGCTAGAGCCCATTTTCCACCTTGTTATATTGCTCCTTTAAGAAGTAACAAGAGCATACTACTTCCTGCTCACAACCTTCCAATGACTTCCCATCACTCCTGAAATAAAATCAAAATGTTTATCGAGCCTAGAGGCCTTACATAATCTGGCCCCCAGCTCCCTCTCCAAGATCACCCACTAACACTTTTCTGCTTGCTCATTCACACAAGCCTTTTCGCTAGTCCTCAAGCACGCTGAGAAGAGTCCCTTCTCAGAGCATTTGTGCTCGCTGTTCCCTCTGACTGTAGTGCTTTTTGCCCCAGCCAATCAGACAGCTATCTCCTTCGCTTTGCTCACTTTTCTGCTTAAAGGCCACCTCCTCAATGAGGCCATTCCTGAGTGCCTTCCATGAGTCACCATTCTGTCACTGTGTGTATTAGTTTCTTACCCCTGCTGTAACCAGTTACCACAAACTTAGTGGCTTAAAATAAAACAAATGTATTATTGTATGATACATTCCTGGAGTTCAGAAATCCAAAAACAGTTTCACTGGCCTAAAATCACAGGGGCAGCCAGCCTGTATTCCTTTTATAGGCTCTCAATAAGAATTCACTTCTGGATGAGTGTGGTGGCTCACGCCTGTAATCCTAGCACTCTGGGAGGCTGAGGCGGGTGGATTGCTCGAGGTCAGGAGTTCGAAACCAGCTGATTGCTTGAGCCCAGGAGATTGAGGTTGCTGTGAGCGAGGCTGACGCCACGGCATTCACTCTAGCCTGGGCAACAAAGCAAGACTCTGTCTCAAAAAAAAAAAAAGAATGTATTTCCTTGCTTTTTCCAGCTTCTAAAAGTCACCTGCATTTCTTGGCCTGTGGCCCCTTCATCCATATTCAAAGCCAGCAATGTAACATCTTCTCTCCTCCTCTTTGCCTCCACACTTACACCTTCTCTCTTTCTCTGACTTTTACTTTTGTTCCTCCCTCTTCTAAGGACCCTTGTGATTATGTTGCACTTGCCCAGATAATCCTTAACTTAATTATTAAATACATCTGTAAGGCCCTTTTGCTATGTAGGGTTACATATTCATAGGTACTAGGAATCACAGTTTTTGGACCTCTTCAGACAGCCATTAACCTCTCAACCATTGCATTAGTTTTCTTTACAGCACTTATTATTGCTCCTTATTATATATTTACTTCTATCTTATTGTTTAACATCTGCATTGAATAAGTTAGTGCACTTAGTAACAGTTTAGAATATAAGAAACAGTAAGTGTTCAGTAGTATTGGTGGTATTATTGTTAGCATATAAGCTCCTTGAAAGCAGAGAATTTAGTTTGTTCAACATTGAATTCCCATTGTTTGGCATAGTTTCTAGTATATAGTAAATGTTCAATAAATGTCTCAAAGGATGAATGAACTCCTTAAACATTTATCAGTAACAATGTTGCCACACAACTTCCATTTTCTTCCCTTAGCTCTTGAATATCAATTGTCTCATTAGTGATTTCCATGTATCATACACTAATACATGAAAATTGCTTTCAAAAACTTTGAGAAAGCTTCCTAAACATTGCTTTGCCTACTTTGGCTAAAGCTTGGGTATTGGTTTCCAGAGCATTAAACAGTAAGAATACTAGCTTAACAGTCACATAGTTGCTTTATGTTTGGAAAGGATTTGGCTAAGTCTAGAAACACAGTCTCTATCCCTGGTTCTTAGAAATCCAAGTTTGAGCACAAGACCATGAAAAACACTCTGCTATTATTAACATTGTTTTTAGGAGGCCATTAAATATGCTCTGAAAACAAGTATCCAAGCTTCCAGGAAAAGCAAGGCAAATCCCAGGGATGTAGGTTGATGGGACAGCTTCCTGAAGTCTGGACCAACTTCTCCATGCCACAGATGGAGGCAAATGAATCCACAGCCAATAGGGACACTCAGATCCACTGCAATGGGGACAAGGGACAAGGATGTCTAATTCCAGCTAGGACCAACTGCTATGATCTGAGTTTTGGCCAATGGATAATCCTCTGTCACTTCGTTTGATCTCCCAAAGTCTCTGTTAGCTTCAAAGTTTGGAGTATATGAGACAAATGATTGATTGCTCATGCTATAAAATTATCATCAACATAGTTCTCTCTATAAGCTGCAATTTATAGAATATATTTTTTAAAAATTGCTCACTGAAGATCCCACCATGACGTATGAGACCTCATGTGATCCAATTCCTGCCCACCTACTCAAACCCTTTTTTCTTTTTTAAGTTTTTCTTCCATTCTTACTATACTTATATCACACCACACTGGCCTTCTTTCTGAACAAATGAGAAAAGCCATGTTCTTTCTCTTCCAGGGTCTCTGCTTTTGCTGCTTACTCTGCCTGAAACACTGTTCGCCACAGCAGAGCTTTGTATGCTGCCTGGGTCAGCTTCCTGCCACCTCCCCAGAAGGTCTTCTCTGCCCAGCCAATCAAAAGTTGACCCTCAATGTTGTATTCTTCATTGTACTTCACACTATGTAAAAGCGTGTAGTTGAATTATTTGTTTACTTATTTCTGTCTGCTTACTCTCTCCCATCAGGTTAATACCTCAATGAGAACAGTGACCTGGTCTGCTTATTTGTAGCTCTATCTCTTCTGCCTGCTTTTAACATAATAGATGCTCAATAAATGTGCTGAATGCATGAATGAGTAAATTTACTTTTTAAAATTGAATTCCTATATTAATTTCTGTTATTATTTAACATTATGTCTCATGGGTGAAAATAAAAGATCGATGATGGCAAGCTG